TATTCAAATCAGATATATATTTATACTTTAGAAGTACGTAACATCAAATATTTTTAAATAACTAATTGAGTTTATGTTGACTTATAGTCTAAAAAATATTTTAGAGTTAAATAATAATTTAAAAATTATAAAAATTAATATTTTTACGTATATGTATTGTTTTCTTCTATAACACCGATCGATTATTGAAATATGATTACTTATAAAAGTATCGAATTCACAAATTAGTATTATTATTATTATTATTATTATTATTTCAGATTTTAGATATGAAACGTGCATAGTGAAAATTCTAGGATTTGATTATTAGAGATTGGATTGGAGATCTTTTAGTCATCTAAACATTATGTTTATGAAATGACAAACTATTGATTTTGTAAAAAAGAAAAAAAGAAGAGTTAATTTATTTATGAACTAATAATAAAATAATTATTACATAATAATAGAAAGCAAGTGGCAGTTAAAATAGTATATTTGTCGGCAGTTGAACAAACTTGGATTCACATAACAAAACTGCAGATCTTGGCAAGTGCAAATAATTTCATATCTAACCATAATTAACAAGTAATTAGTTCCTAATTAAACCTATTAATGTAGGTTGACTATTCTATATATGGTATAAAAGATTCCAACGAAGACCATACCATGTACTGTTGCACATAGAATTAACGATCAAGGTTGACTAATCAGTAAATATGTCACCAAATAACTATTAACCTTCACTCTCCTCATTAAAAAAAAAAAAAAAGTGAAAATTTTATCAATTACTATGTCCCTATCTCTCTTGTAGTCTAAATAACACAATGATTTTTTTTTTTAAAGTTTGATTTTTAAATTTTTATTCGTTTGTATTATATTTTTATTTATAAAAAATGTATATTTGCGAGCTATCTATGGCTAAAAAAATGTATTTATCTTAAAATATTTTTGAGTGATGTAATGATATACCCTAAAAATATATGCATTAATAATTAGTGATAGTAGAATTAGTAGTAGTCATCACTATGACAATAATGACAGTGCAGATAATAATATCTATGGTTACAACAAAGATGATAATCGTACTAATCGCAAAAGTAACCATATGATTAGATAATGGTAGTGTTAATGTCCAAAATGTGAGTAATGACGATGATGATGATACAATGGTAATAATAATAGTAACAACAATAATAAAGATGACAATGACAATGATTATGATGAAGTAATAGTGGTAAGTGGCAACAACGACAGAGTTAACAACATGTACAATGGTGGAGGAGTTTGAAGCATGTACGATGGTAGAAGAAGTGGTGACATACATAATGGCGAGGGGGTAATGATAGAATGACAGGGATATAAGAAGTACATTGGTGTCATTGGGTCAATAGTGGTGGTGGCAGCTGCAGCTACAATAATAATGGTGGCAACAAATGTGACAGTTGTTGTAATAGTAACATTGATTGTGAATGTAATTGAGATGATAATGTGGTGCAAATAATGGTGATCAAAATTCACAACAAAACCGAAATTGACAATGATAGTGGATTTGCAATTTCAACAGTAGTGAAGTGGTGGTCGTACTAGTGATTCTAGTATTCTTCATAATAGATGGATATTGATAAAAAAAAAACCTATAGATAATTACTTTACTCGTTTTAAGATATTATTGAGATGAGTAATGTTTATTCAATTATAATTGGACAAATGAACCACTTTCAAATGACTATTATTTATCTTACATTAAAAAAATTACTTCAAACATTAGATGAAGTAGGGTGAGAAACATTGATCATTCTTTACTTTATAATAGCCTAAGCACTAACATAACTTAAAATAATTTGTAACCAAAGTTGGTTTGCATTTGTAGGGGAAAAAAAAAACAAATTTATTAACATGATCAAAAAAATTCGATTCACATAGCTAAGATGAAGATATGGACATTCATACTCGTATAAGTATAAATAGACAAAATTTTGTTAGGAGTCTCTCTTAATGCTTTCATGCCTTTAAAATTCTTAAATATTGTGATACATCTTTATATGTTTTATGATTTTCTTGATTATTTTTTTTTTAATTTCCATTTAGTTTCATTTTATTCAAATAAGTAGAATCATTTAACTTAACTATTAAAAAAAATTCCATTCTCATAACTTCATGTGGTAAAATATAAATTTTTTTTTATCAATATAATTATGAGTTGATGCAACTTTTGACCTTTTCTTGATCGATTGAATATGTTCTTATAGTGGCTCTTGTATTTTTTTTTTCTTTATATTTTGGTGATTAGCAAATAATTTTTTTCAAAAAAAAAAAAAAAAAGAAAGAAAGAAGTTATCGTCACATTCTTGAGAAACAAGTTTCTTGGTTTTGATTATGATACATGAAGAGCTTTGTGATTTAAAACCAAACCAAGTATACCTTGTTTGTTCCATTAATTTGCAAATTAAGAGATATAGATAGTTTTACAAGACAAGTTATTACAATAATTTATGGGTGAATTATATATTTTGATGAGTACATCTTTTTCCATATAGAGCAACAAAATATTTTTAAGTTTTAAATCATCACCATCTAATCTTAACTACATGCATATGTGTAAGCTTAAAACTTCTCTTGGATAGCCACATCTAGGTGATGAACACTTATTCCACCATCATTCTATTCTACTTTTCTCTCTCATTAGAGAAAAAAAAAAAAACAAAAAATCCCTTAACCCTCTCTTCCTTCCAAATACTTTCTTCCCATGTCATTCTCAACCATATAACTAACAAATGTTTTTTAAGGGTAAAATGGAAGGAAGAAATGGGGAAAAAGAAAAAGTGAAGATCACACCTATTCTTTTGTGGGTAAGTAAATAGAGAGTCAGAAAGTAAATACCACAAGAATATATGTAAGATAAAATTCTAACTTCAGAGTCATTAAATTTATAATATTTTTAACAAATTTATCAAAGTTTTGATTTTATTAAATTAAATTATATCAAAAACAGGACATTGTCTAAATAAGATAATGATCATGCGTCCTTTTTCTTTTCCGTTTTTTGTCTCACATATAACTTCTCCATCAACTAACTTATCACCTTTGCTTGTACACTGGGCCAGTTCTCTCTCTATTTATACCAACTGTGCGAGCCATACTCTTCCACAACATACCCTGCCTTTTCAGTTTTCACAATCTGCATTTAAGCACATATAGCTATACATACATACATATATATATAGATAATTCGCAATGGCAAAGCTTAGTTGTGTGTTAATGGCTCCACTACTATTCTCTTTTCTGCTCATTCTCATGGTTTCTTCTCAGGGTCCTCCCTCACCAGGGTACTATCCTACATCCAGATTCCCGTCTTTAGGTTTTGATCAAGGATTCAGAAATCGTTGGGGTCCTCAGCACCAGAGAGTAGAACAGGGTGTCCTAACAATCTGGCTTGATTCTACCTCAGGTCCTATATATATATATGTATAATATATTTATCCACTTACATCCATCTCTACTTGATTTAGAATGAGCTCTAAGGGACATCTTTTGTTGATGATTCTGGAATTGGGTTCTGATCAATTTCTGCTATTTTTTCAAGAACAGGAAGTGGGTTCAAATCACTTCATACATATCAATCTGGTTATTTTGGAGCTGCCATTAAACTTCAACCCGGTTATACTGCTGGAGTAATTACATCTTTCTATGTAAGCATGAAAAAAATGAATGGAACGTGTTCTATTTTTTTATTGATTTAGTTAATAATCTACTATTTCTAATCTGAATCTTTAATGGCAGCTTTCAAATAATGAAGATTATCCAGGAAATCATGATGAAATTGACATTGAATTTCTGGGTACAACTCCAGGGGAACCCTACACTTTGCAGACAAATGTTTTCATAAGAGGAAGTGGAGATAGAAATATCGTCGGCAGGGAAGTCAAATTTCATCTCTGGTTTGATCCAACACAAGACTTCCATAACTATGCTATTCTCTGGACCCCAAGTGAGATCGTGTAAGTATATCCCACTTCTACGAACCTACTCACCATCCTCTTTGACTTTTAACTTCATATACATATACATATGTGCTAAATTTTCCTTATTTAAATTATACTAAATTTACCCACATAAAGTTATTACCCACTAAGTTTTTCTCTTCAACTGTATAGATTTTTTGTGGATGATGTGCCTATTCGGAGGTATCCAAGGAAGAGTGATGCCACATTTCCCTTAAGACCAATGTGGGTTTATGGTTCAATTTGGGATGCTTCATCTTGGGCTACTGACGATGGAAAATACAAAGCTGACTACCAATACCAACCCTTCGTTGGTAGGTATAAGAATTTCAAAATAGCCGCGTGCAGAGCCGACGGGCAAGCTTCCTGTAGGCCCCCTTCTGTGTCTCCATCTGGCTCTGGCATATTGAGCCCACAACAAGAATCGGCCATGGAATGGGCACAGAGAAATTCTCTGGTTTATAACTATTGTCTAGACCCTAAGAGAGATCATACCCAAACGCCCGAGTGTTGAAAAAAATAAAAATCATTACATGTTTCTGGGCTAAAAATGGCTTCCAATACCCCCAACATGTGATCTGTTCGTGTTAAAATTAAGTGAGTTAAAATATGATGTGAAATGAGAACAAAAAAAATATATATTTTTTTTATGTGGGTAAGTGTATGTATATGTTAAGGGGGATTGTGTATAAAGTTACACAAAATATATAGGAGTTGTTTGTTTGTTTTGTTATGGGTATGGTCTTGAGGTGGAACCCGCTTGCCAAGAATAGGTGCAGGAGTAGTAGTTGAGCATCCAAGGCCTCCAAAAGATTTGAAAGGGTTTTTTTGTCTTTTATCAAATGTTGATGGAATAAAATTGCTACGATTTATGTGTTCAATAAGATAAAAAGTATGAGACTCATCTCTTAATTTAATACCTTCGTCCTACTGATATGCACCTTCTCTCTCATTCTTCTTTATAAAACTAAAAAAAAAAAAAAAAGAAACCTCTAAGAGTAGCCTTCAGAAGTTGATAGTTTGCGAAACTCCAAAACCCCATCTCAAAAACAACTTTAAACCTAAGTTGGAATTATCAATTTACTGAGATTTGAGTAAAACAAAATTGGAGAATATTTCTCCAAAATCATTATTTTAGTTCCATTCGGAACAGACTGATTGAAATGAAACTAATTTTGTCACGAATAGACCCATCCAAGCCCACAAATTAGATTGCATAACGTTTTTTTAATTAAAAAATAAATAATCTGAAAATATTTAAAATAAGTAAAAAAACAATTTTGATAATTAATAAATTAATAGTAATAATTTGTTGTTAGTTTATTATTTTAATTCATTAGTTAAAGTTATTATTTTTTAATTTATTAGAAAATGGAAGAAAGTTGAATTATGTTAAATTTTGAACATTAATTTTAATAATTTACCAAAAAATATAAATGTGGCTGAGAAGGTTGATCGCACAAATTTGCAGGACCATGGTGTTTCTTAATTATAACTGATGGTTTACTCAAATATCAACCATGAGATTAAAATAATTTTTGCCATTTCATTTTAAAAATCAAAGAAAAAAGAAAACTAGGTTGAGGCTAATACAATGAATTTGTCCTTCTACTATTAGTTTTTTTTTTTTCAAATTAATTATTATCTAGTTTTTAGTGAAATTGGTTTTTGTGCTTTTAAAAAACTTTAAATTAAATCATTCTATACTACCAACTGATATTATAATTTGATGATATATAATTTTTTATTTATTTATTCAATGTTACATCAAATATTACATTACATGATGTGATATATAAAAAATAGATTTTAATATGTCGAAACCAATCTATAAAAAAAAAAATGTTGCATACCAGGTTTGTTGAAAAGTAAAAATCTAATGTGGGTTTCTTAAAAACCTGCTTCCCTTGCCTTCTTCGATTTTAATTTTATTTTTTTCTACAATTAATAATTCGATGGTCTTGTAATCCCAACTAATAAATCCAAAACTCAGTTTTTAAGCTTGCCTAAGACCTCATTAAGTAAATTAGTAATCTTAACTCAATAAGTTCTTAAAAATTCATCTATGTTCTCGATAAGTCCGTTAGTAATGTTAAACATAAGAGGTGCCACATAAATCATGATGACACTTGCCCTAAGTACCACAGTAATAGCGAGAGCTTTCTCAATATGATTTTTGACTCTCATTTGTCAAACAAATATAATTAGATTTAATTGATGGAAAAAAAATTTAATTTTCTCTCCCTTTTAGCAAGTTGATGGATTTGAAGATGTGTACTGAGGCTAGCATGGATGGAGTTACCAACTAGAAAACTATTTTCTCGACTGTGACCTGATTAGTTTGAAAATCGAGCAACAGTTCATCCATGAAGAGGGAGAGAAGTATACTACCCTATTCAGCATGATGATTTTTAGGCTTGATTGAAGTTCTATATAGCTCGTGCAAAATACGACCAAAAACCCTCTAATGAGAGCTATGTCAGACCCTAGATTGGTTGGCGCACTCCTATGGATGAGTAGTTTAAGGTCAATATTGATGCCTCTATCTTTGGTGATTTTAGTAAATTAGCTGTCGGAGATATTATATGTGATAGTCAAGACAACTAGGCATTGTCGGCTTCATGTCCAACCAAGTCACCCGTCTTTGCTTCTTAGTAAGTCTTATTTATTAACACAATAAAGGCATGTACCAGCAATCAAAATACAAGTAAATAGAGGTGATAAGGTGTCCCATAAATTATGGAGTGATAAGGATGAATTTACTCACAACAGCAACTTTATTAGTAGAGATATATTAGGAGATAATAGATGTCAAAGTATAATAACTTCAGTCCAAGATGGTAATATAACAAAAAGAAGATTATTTATTTGACTAAATCTATTCCAATAAAAAATGATTATCCAGTTGACTAAATCATGGAAGACTATTGTGCTAATTTCTTTGAATTTATTTTTTGAAGATCCTTTCCTTTCTCCTTGTAACAGTTTTGTTATTTTGTCTACAATAACTTTGTTTTACTTGGCCTATATATACAGAGTCAAGTACTATTGTAAAAAGTAGTATCTATTAATAAAAATACAGGAATTTTTTTCACTCTTTTTCTCTTCGTATTAGAGCGGGTTGTGTTCACCAAGCACAATAGCTCCGACAATCATGACCTTAATATCCCTAAATGTTGGAAATTTCAGTACACTTAAACTGACCCAATCAAATTGCCCACTATGGAGAGAACAAGCTTCAGGACTAGTAGAGAGTCAAGAACTTGTAGACCATCTTACCAATGAAGATCCAATTCCAACTAAATATACTACACCAAATCTAAATGCTACAGATACTAAAAACACCTCATCAAAACTAACAGAAGAATACATTGCCTGGCAAAAAACTGATCGTCTTCTTCGAGGGTGGAAAATTGGAACACTCTCTGAAGACGTTCTTGGGCTTGTTATTGGTCTGGAAACTACTCATGTTGTTTGGGAGGGTTTGAAAAATGCTTATGCATAAGACTTACAAGAACATGAATTCACACTACGTCAACAGTTGATGTATCTCCGTAAAGAAGATGATAAAACCATGGAGACCACCTTAATATTTTCAAAGGTTTATGTGATAATCTAGCAGCCATTGAAAAACCTGTTTCTAATAAAGAAAAGTATTTTTTCTTCTCACTAGTCTTGGACTACAATATGAAACTTTTACAACTATAATGCTAAAACCCCCTAAGACCTTCATACTTTGAACTAATCTAACAACTTTAAAATTTTGATCAACGATGCAATTGGTTTTCTAATCAATCAAACTTGTTGATCTCTATATTCACTCTTCATCTAACATTCTATGGTCAGCAACAAAAAAAAATCTCAGAATACATCTTCACGAAATCACAACAACACATTCTGTAACGGCCCCGGAAATTCAAAAGGAAATACATATAATAATCTGAGTGCGGAAGCGAAATAAAGGATTAAGGTTAACATCCCTTACACAAAAACTTAAAAATACTAAACAACATCACAGAATAAGTTCTATAAAAGAAATACGAGAAATGAGAAAAATAAATAAAACTATAAGGCATTTAACATCTGCTCGCCGTCTTCTTGTGGATCGGGCTTGGGAACCAAGTCCTCCTGATCTGAAATGGTTAAATAAGGAATGAGCTACACTATCCTAGTAAGGACATCATACTATATGACCGTCACAGAAGTAAAGGTTGGTAGAAAATAAAAAACAACCAATGAAGCACAAATTTTAAAGTAATACATTTATTTCAAATAAAATCACTTACCATTTTTCTTACTCTTGGAGAACCAGTGAAAACAACCTATAAAGACAATAACATTATACATATCACAATGTCATGCATAATCAGTAACATAAAATATATCATAATTCCGTATTCATTAATAATAACTGATTATCCCTATTTCTCGTTTTCATCAGCCTACTAATATCCATGATGATCCATAGGGGTGTTCCTGCTACACGTGAACCATTCTTCTTAACAATCTTAATTTCAAGGCCGTCCCCATACCCCGTCCGGTATGAGCGCCAAATGACCAAGTCTCCATACCCCGTCCGGTATGAGACAACATTCACGGTAGGGTTCCCTATGAACCTGGTCCGTCCACCATCTCCCAGGATATCTAGTGAGCCTGTCACTTTATCTGTTTTCCCTTAGTCTTTGTTACCAAGCTGAACATAATCATATAAACAATAAACATGCACCCGGTAATACAATCATATCTTAAATTCCAAAATCATACAGTGGTCAAGTAAGACAGTAATACATGCATTTAGAACCATAGAATAGATATATTAAATACCATAATGCATTTAAATCGTAAAAGAAATCAAGTAAGAATCGACAGAGAAAAATGTCCACTTCGGACTCCATTAGCAAACTTAATTAATTATGCATATCTATTTAATTTGTACAAAATACAGTATTATCATTTATTCAAACTTCAATTTTAAAGGAAACAGTGTGAGGGGTCCTTACTTGGTTCGACGCCAAAAACTAAATTGTTACTGCGCCTAAATGCGGTCCCAAGGTTCCCTGATTTATTTCTTGGGAACTGAAATGCACTTACGGTAACTACACATGCCCCAAATAACCCAAAAATCATACCCAGGGCCTACTCGGCCAATTTCAGAATTCTGGCACGGTGGCTCTGCCATGCTCCAGTGACGACGTCGCCGCCCACGAGGGTAATCCGCCTCGGATTGGCTTTTTTTAGCCGTTTTCGGTCAAATTCAGCCAAACTTGCATCGGTTCCAGTGAGAAAATACACTTAGGGCCCTCGGTGGGTCGAAAAAATATAGAAAACCAATCACCGGCGGTGGGGCTTTCTGGTGCGGCGGCTCCTCCAGCTCACGTTGCGGTTGGGTGTTCTGCTCTAGTCAACCTGTAGAGAAGAAAACGGTGATCACAACGGTAGAAAAATCACATTAAACGAGAATCAGGAAGGGCCTCATCGGAGACGAAAATCGAAACACCCCGTGGCAGCGCCACTGACCTTTGTCGGCATTTTTCGATCAATTGGCTGGTGCTTTCACTCTGATTTTGCCACGGGTGGGTTTGGAATCAAATTCTGAGCAAAAGGTAGAATTTTTACCTCGTTTGGCGACCAAAAGTTGCTCCGTTGCGGCGGCGGGTAGCGACGGTCGGATTCCCGGCAGCTGGGCGGTCTTTTCTAGCGGGGGGCTCTGGCGGCTAGGGTTAGAATTTGGGTGCGGATGGGGTTATTAATACCAATCAGCTTTTGATATGGGCCATCCATTACTTTTAATCTGGATTGTCTGATCGCGATTTAATCTAGGCTGTCCGTGCGCGATTCAATCTGGACCGTCCGTGCGCGATGCAATCTGGGCTGTCTGTGCGCGTTTTGATCTGGGCCGTCCTCCCGCGCAGGAATG